AAACCATTAGCCAGACTCATCAAGAAAAGAAGGGAGAAGACTCAAATCAACAGAATTAGAAATGAAAAGGGAGAATAACAGACACTGCAGAAATACAAAGGATCATGAGACATTACTACAAGCAACTATATTCCAATAAAATGGACAATGTGGAAGAAATGGACAAATTCATAGAAAAGCACAACCTTCTGAGACTGAAAAGGAAGAAATAGAAAATATGAACAGACCAATCACAAGCAATGAAATTGAAACTGTGATTAAAAATCTTCAAACAGGGGCTTCCTTGGTGGTGCAGTGGTTGAGAGTCCGCCTGCCGATGCAGGGGACACGGGTTCGTGCCCTGGTCCGGGAAGATCCCACATGCCGCGGAGCGGCTGGGCCCGTGAGCCATGGCCGCTGAGCCTGCGCGTCCAGAGCCTGTGCTCCGCAACGGGAGAGGCCACAACAGTGAGAGGCTTGCGTACCGCAAAAAAAATAAATAAATAAAATAAAATCTTCAAACAAACAAAAGCCCAGGGCCAGATAGCTTCAAAGGCAAATTCTGTCAAACATTTACAGAATAGCTAACACCTATCCTTCTCAAACTCTTCCAAAATATAGCAGAAGGAGGAACGCTCCCAAACTCATTCTACGAGGCCACCATTACCCTGATACCAAACCAGACAAAGATGTCACAAAGAATGAAAACTACAGGCCAATCTCACTGATGAACATAGAGCAAAAATGCTCAACAAAATACTAGCAAACAGAATCCAACAGCACGTTAATAGTATCATACACCATGATCAAGTAGGGTTTACTCCAGGAATGCAAGGATTCTTCAATATACACAAATCAATCAATGTGATACATCATATTAACAAACTGAAGGATAAAAACCATACGATAATTTCAATAGATGTAGAAAAAGCTTTCAACAAAATTCAACACCCATTTATGATAAAAACTCTCCACAAAGTGGGCACAGAAGGAAGCTACCTCAACATAATAAAGGCCATACATGACAAACCCACAGCCAACATCATTCTCAATGGTGAAAAACTGACCATTTCCTCTAAGGTCAGGAACAAGACAAGGTTGCCCACTCTCACTGCTATTATTCAATATAGTTTTGGAAGTTTTAGCCACAGCAAATCAGACAAGAAAAAGAAATAAAAGGAATCCAAATCAGAAAAGAAGTAAAGCTGTCACTGTTTGCAGATGACATGATACTATACATAGAGAATCCCAAAGATGCTACCAGAAAACTACTAGAGCTAATCAATGAATTTGGTAGAGTAGCAGGATACAAAATTAATGCACAGAAATCTCTTGCATTCCTATACACTAATGATGAAAAATATGAAAGAGAAATTAAGGAAACAATCGCATTTACCCCAGCAACAAAAAAAATAAAATACCTATGAGGAAACCTTCCTGAGGAGACAAAAGACCTGTATGCAGAAAACTATAAGACATTGATGAAAGAAATTAAAGATGATACAAACAGATGGAGAGGTATACCATGTTCTTGGATTGGAAGCATCAACATTCTCAAAATGACTATACTACCCAAAGCAATGTACAGATTCAATGCAATCCTTATCAAACTACCAATGGCATTTTTCACAAAAGTAGAACAAAAAATTTTACAGTTTGTATGGAAACACAAAAGACCTCGAATAGCCAAAGCAATCTTGAGAAAGAAAAATGGAGCTAGAGGAATCAGGCTCCCTGACTTCAGACTATATTACAAAGCTACAGTAATCAAGACAGTATGGTACTGGCACAAAAACAGAAATATAGATCAATGGAACAGGATAGAATGCCCAGAAATAGACCCACGCACATATGGTCACCTTATCTTTGACAAAGGAGGCAAGAATATACAATGGAGAAAAGACAGCCTCTTCAATAAATGGTACTGGGAAAACTGGACAGCTACATGTAAAAGAATGAAATTACAACACTTCATAAAACCATACACAAAAATAAACTCAAAATGGATTAAAGACCTAAAAGTAAGGCCAGATACTATAAAACTCTTAAAGAAAACAAAGGCAGAACACTCTATGACAGAAATCACAGCAAGATCCTTTTTGACCCACCTCCTAGAGAAATGGAAATAAAAACAAAAATAAACAAATGGGACCTATTGAAACTTAAAAGCTTTTGCACAGCAAAGGAAACCATAAACAAGATGAAAAGACAACCCTCAGAATAGGAGAAAATATTTGCAAACAAAGCAACTGACAAAGAATTAATCTCCAAATTATACAAGTGGCTCATGCAGCTCAGTATCAAAAAAACAAACAACCCAATCCAAAAATGGGCAGAAGACCTAAACAGACATTTCTCCAAAGAAGATATACAGAAGGCCAACAAACACATGAAAGGATTCCTGGGTCATAAAACTCAGGAAAATATTTAAGGTACATAAATGTACTAAATTTACAAATATACTAAAATTATCAATGTACTAAAACATATTGATGCCTCATTGTGGTGGTAGCTGGATTATGTGAGATTGAGTCTCTTTCTTCTGTTTCTTAAATTCTCATAAATTTTAAAGTTTAAAATAAAAATATCCATGTTGTAGTTGGAATGATAAAATATATCAATATTAAACAAATAAGTCTCCTTGAAAAATTCATTACAGCCCAGATCTTGGCTTCAGCCTTTGCTACAGACCGAATTTTTGTGTCCCCCACAAAATCCATATGTTGAAATTCGACCCCGGATGTGATAGTATAAGCAGGTGGGGGTAGGTGATTAAGGCATTAAGACAGAGCCCTCATGAAGGCGATTAGTGCCCTTATAAAAGTGTTTCCAAAGGGCTCCACCACCCTCCAACCATGTGAGGACACAGCCCGAGACAACACTCTATAAACCAGGAAGCAGGACTCACCAGACACCAAATCTGCTGACACCTTGATCTTGGACTTCCCAGGCTTCTGAACTGTGAGAAATAAATTTGTTGTTTATAAGCCATCCAGGCTATATCTTACTGCAGCCCAAACAGACTAAGACAGACTCACTGACCCAGAAATCTAATTTCTCGGGAAGACTTACATTAGTGAAGCTCATGGAGACATATACACACACACACACACAAAAGCAAGTATCTTGCAATATCTCAAGGGGAAACAGATCTAATACCGGTTGGTGGGGACTGGGAGAGTGCCTTTCTAACCAAGGGAAATGGTTTGGTAATAAAATTAATATGATTTAAGTACAACCTCAAAGTGGTTAATTCAGGTTAAACAGTGGATTCAGTTGTACTCTGAAATAGGAGAAAATAAGGTGCAAACAATTTCATGATTAAGAAGCCTAAAAATTCACACACCAGCAAACTAACTTGCGCAAAGTTGTGAATGGTTTTAAATCAGTGACCAGTAAAAAGACAAACTATCACTTTTCCCACTAGATATTCAACTCATGACATGTGTGTATATGTATGAAAATTCACCCTCTCTAGTGAGGGAAGATTGCACACCTCAAGCGTGGCACGGATTTTTAATTTCAAGACCTAACCACCAAGAGTTACTTACTTCACGTCAATTTCTAGAAATTAAAGGTAAAAAACTTGAGGTTCAAAATAGAAAGGCTATTGGTGGTTGTGGGAATGGGGCAGACTCATGGAATACAATTAAGTATCATTTAGAATATATTTTGGCTAGAGACCAAGAGGCAAGGTTCTTCGTTTCTTTCGTTTAAACTTTTTCTTAATAAATCTTTTATTTTGGAACAGTTTTCGGTTAACAATTATAGCGAAGATAGTACAGAGTCCCCTATACCCCATACAAGACAAGTTTTTTAAACTCTAACTTCTACCTCCACCCCTCCCACCACCCAAACCGTCCCCCACTTCTCTCCGATTCTATCTCCTCAGGTTTCAGCAGGGCCTTGTTCTCACAGTGCAAAGTTAGGATTGTAACGGAAACCCAGTTCAGTTCAAACTTCACCGTCCAGCCACAACTGGGTCAGCTGAGCTAGCCGACACCAGAACACTCCCGCCCCGCCCAGCTCTTTCAGAGGCGCTCCGACCCCTCGCCAACGTGGCTCCTCCAACTGAGGTCCCGGGAGACGCGAGCCAAGCGGGACCAAAGCGCTGGGCAGCTTCCAGAAGCCAGGCGCGCCGGGAGCAGGACCAGGTGAGCACCCAACAGCACGCTCCTCCCTCGAGGGGAGGTTCCGAAGGCTAAAACATTTTTAACCTCAAAACTTCCAGACCTTTAACCGGCTTGGGGCGAGTTACACAAACCTACCCACATTCGCTTATTGTTTAACGCAGACGCCTCCGGGCGCTTCTCGGCCACAACCGCCTCTTCACAGCCAACACCCCCAGACGGCCTCAGCCCCGCCCCGTCGCCGCTGCCAGTCCCTCGCCGCGTCGCGCGGGGCCGGGGCGCGCGCGCGTGAGGACGTCCGGGAGCGAGCGCGCCGCCGCCGCTGCCGCCGAGCTGGGCGGGAGTTGTTGGCGGTGGGTCTGAAGGTGATGGCCTTGACTGAAGGCCTCGAGGCGGCATCTCCCGCTGTTTCTGCAGTCGCTGCCCGGGACTCGGTGCGCTCATCGTCATGAGAGGTCAGGCCTGGGGGAAGCGGGCGAAGGAGGCGAGGGGCCGCGGCGAAATGGGCTCTGGGGAGAATAACTGAGGCACTCGAAGGTCGAACGTGGGAGGAAAAATCTGTCCTGGAGATTCCGGAAGAGCCCGTTGCGTTTACTTTTCTTCCCTTTTTCTCCCCTTTCTTGCTCGTACTTGGAGGAAAGCGGGAGGGTTCTGTTTTTATTTGTGGAAGAAGACGCTGAAATTCTCCCGTCCAGCGTCGGTCTTCAGAGGTTGGAGGAAATAAATAGCAGTCGTGGCGTTGGAGCATCAGTGAAAGCCTCTAGTGAATGGCACTAAAAACCAAACCGCCCAACAGTAACTGAAAAAAAAAAAAAAATAGAAAAAAAATTCCAAACCTAGGAATGAAATAGAATGACACGGAACATGCCCTGACGTTAACCCCAGCTTCCTCCTACAGAAACGGCAGAAAGGCTCAGCGTTTCGTCAGCTGGATCCACGACGGCTACCCACACTCGTCATTTAGGGATCTTTCCGTGCCAGTGTACTCTTTCCCGACGCCCCTCCCCTCAAAGGTGGCATTTTTAATGTGCAGACTACGTAATTATCCTTATTCAGAATAAAGAGTCACTTAGCAATTACATGGTGACTCCCCAAGTCTTCCTATTTTAAAGGTATTTAGGTAACATCCTTGGGGGGGACAGGAAAAGGTAATACTCTTGGTATTAATTATTGGAAACTTTTTTATTAGCTTTGGGAAAGCTGTTTCAGCATAAAACGAAATTTGTAGGTCACCTAAATGAAATGTTTATTAGTTCTCCATGATGATACTTAATGAGGAGTTAAGATTTGATGCTTTTTTCTTCCTAACCTTTCCACACATTAAAAAAAATACTCTTATTAGATGTAGAATCTACATCAGAGATGAAACTGTTCCAGTTGAACAAAGTAAATGTATTTAAGTGTTCTAGTATGATTGAGTACTAGTACTCATATTATTAACATCTGCTGAGCACCAATATTTTGACTGTTTTGCCAGTTCCTTCTGTCATTAGAGAACTGGAGGCATCTGAAGCTAAACTTTTTTGGTAGCAGATGTTCCCTAAAGCATAGTTTGCCTAGGGCAGCAGAGCCTTCGCATAAAGGGAGAAGATGGAGGAGTCTAGTAATAAGCAATAGATAACCTGGAAATAATTCATGTACTGTGACTATCAGCCTCTCCTTTAGTGAATAAATTATTCCTAGTGAGCAATATATTGCCTGTACGTAATTGTTCACTTAGAATATTTTCTGCGCTTTGATTTTTAGGAGACAGAGCCCTGAAGCAAAGAAATCTGGATCACAGAAAAAGTATTCAGGGGTCATGCAAGCCAACTGTAGCCAACTGCACAGCCCTTCAGGAGCTGCAGGCAGTGAGGATGCCTCAGCCTCCCAGTGTGTCCAAACAAGATTGACAGGAGAAGCTTCCTGTCTTTATTCTGGAGATGTTCATATTCAGATAAACTCCATGCCTAAAGAATGTGCTGAAAATCCAAGCTCCAGAAATGTAAGGTCAGGTGTCCACGGCTGTACCCATGGATGTGTACACAGTCGCTTACGGAGTCACTCCCACAATGAAGCAAGGCAACCTGATGATACCGAGATGGAGTCTGGAGATCGTGGTAGTAGCTCCTTCTCAGAATTCCGATATCTCTTCAAGTGGTTGCAAAAAGGTCTTCCATATATTTTGATTCTGGGTGTCAAACTTGTTATGCAGCATATAACAGGTAGGGTATAATAAAACATCGAGCTGTTTCATTACTATATGCAGCTAATTTTCTTTCTTTATTGGTAGTCTACTTTAACCTATGTATTTCAGTTTCTTATTTTGTTAGTTTTTAAAATTGTATATGCTTCCTTTAAATTCATGTCATGTTAGCTCTTTTTTTTTCCTTTCAATTAACTGGACCTTATTTTCTAACAGGAATTTCTCTTGGAATTGGGCTGCTTACAACTTTTATATATGCAAACAAAAGCATTGTAAATCAGGTTTTTCTAAGAGTAAGTATAACCAGCAACTAAAAAATTATTAAATGTTTCTCCCTGTAGAATTATATACTCATTTTTGAGAGAAATAGGAGTAAAGATAAGATAGTTTATTTGATAAATTTAAATAGATATAATGTACCATCCATGATATATTAAATGTTGTTATCTAAATGACCTGGAATAAGTGATCTGTCCTAATACTGAATTGATTCACCTTATTTTCTTTGTATATTGGGTTCCTGATAAAGAAAAACTAGACAGAAGGATTAAAAGGTTTAGAACACACTATTTGATCTGATTTGTCAAGTGCTATCATGTTTTAAGTTAGTTTGACCGTACTAAGTAATATAATCATCATTAAAAACTTCAGCTGTTGTACTATAAGATTTAAAATAGTCAAATAAAACGTACACTGAATAAATGGGTATTGAACTATTTATTTAGGTTTCTCTTATTTAAAGAAAACTAAACCCAAGAAGTTTTTCCATAAGAAATTATAAAAGATTCCTATTCATGTAAATTATTGGGAAAACAGGATTAGTTTATAAAATTTCAAGCAACTTTCAAGGGTTATATCTGTGTAAAGGATAATACATTTTGACCTGAAAATTCCTAGTTAGAACCTATCAAACCATAAAAGTTTAATTCAGGGTTTAAAACTAGTAAAATTTTTAATTAAACCAGTAATTAAAACAATTATAAAACTGAAATTAAAAACATTTTATTAAATTCTTATTGAATTGAGAATTTTTAAAATTATATTTATAAACCCTGGCAACATAAATGCAGTTTTTAAAAGTCTGTTTTGTTGGGAAGGCAAAAATAGGAAGCCGCAGAAGTAAAGTTTTTATTTACGTAGGTCCTTTATGTCAGTCTGTAGAAGATTTGGCTTTGAAACGTAGGTAATGTTACACAATGAGGAAACTTGTATTTTAAAAATCTGTTTATGTGTTTTGTTTTTTTCACTAAAGGTATGTAAAATAGAATGTGATGATGTACAATTTAACAAATATTCTGTATTTTTATTAAGATAAATTAATCTATTAAAATGTTCTAAGTTAATAAATTAGTCATTAAAATAGTTTAATGATATTTAAAATTCTGGCATAATTCAAAGTAACAAATTATAAAATTGTTTATTTTTCAGGAAAGGTGCTCAAAGATTCAGTGTGCTTGGTTACTGGTATTCTTAGCAGGATCTTCTGTTCTTTTATATTACACCTTTCATTCTCAGTCACTTTATTACAGGTAATTAGAGGTCCAAGTGCACAATCACATTTTTATGTAATCGTATATTCCATAGCACTTTGCATATATCTTACTTGCACATACTTAGAGTTCAATTTTTACCTATCTGTCTCTTTCCAAGATTGAGCTTAAAGTGACTTACTCACATTTTTATACCCAGTGCCTTGCCTCACAGCAAGTGCTCAATAAATACTTAATTTTTGATACTTAAATTTTTACTTATATAATCAGTAGTTACTAAATACCATTAGGTTGTTGTTGGTGATCTTTTTTCGTTTTTCATTTTTGATAAATAAAAATTGTATATATTTAAAATATATAACACGTTTTGATATATGTATACATTGTGAAGTGATTACCACATCAAGCTAATTAATATATCCATCACCTCCCTTAGTTACCTTCTTGTGTGTATGTGTGATAAGAACACTTGATCTTTGTCTCTAGAAGACGACTTGCTAAAGGACAGTAGTTGATAAGTTTCCATGTCAGATGGAAGTGTTCTGAATTTTCAGCTTTAATCAGATAATTAGAAGTCCTGGTTTCAGTGGAGTTGGAGAGATGTGGACAAATCTGGGATATAGTTTGTAGGTGTAGCCAGTACTACTCGGATTGGATTGGGTGAGTAGGTAAGGGGGAAGAATCAAGGGTGATACTGGGTTTTTTTAGTCTAAGCAACTGGCTGGGTGGTGGTGCCATTTACTGGGCTGGGAAAGACTGGGGAAGGAACTGGTTTTGAGGGAAAATCAGTAATTTTGTTTTGAACATGTTAAGTTTGAGAGGCCATGTAGAACTGTTAAAGTGATTATAGATATTTGTCATGAGCTCAGAGTAGAGGTTAGGGCTGTAAATTTTGGTGTTATCAGCATATGGTTGATATTTAAAAACCAAGGAACTTGACAAGACTAGTCAGGGAAAGAAAGTATAGACAGAGGAGAGGGCCCAGGACTGGACATGCCCACAATTAGCCAGAGGAGGAGAAGCAAAGGAGACTTAAGAAGGAACCATCAGGGACTTCCCTGGTGGTGCAGTGGTTAAGAATCCGCCTGCCAATGCAAGGGACATGGGTTCGAGCCCTTGTCCAGGAAGATCCCACATGCCGCGGAGCAACTAAGCCCGTGCACCACAACTACTGAGCCTGTGCTCTAGAGCCCGCGAGCCACAACTGCTGAGCCCGTGTGCCACAACTGCTGAAGCCCTTGCGCTGAGAGCCCGTGCTCCACAACAAGAGAAGCCACCGCAATGAGAAGCCCGCGCACCGCAACGAAGAGTAGCCCCCACTCACTGCAACGAGAGAAAGCCCATGCGCAGCAACGAAGACCCAATGCAGTCAAAAATAATAAATGAATAATTTTTTTAAAAAAAGGAACCATCAGTCACATATGAGAACCACTAGAAGAGAGTGGTGTCAGAAGTCTAGGAAGAAAGTATTTCAAGGAGAGAAGAGGGGGAAAAAGTGACCTTCGAATTTAGCAAGAGGGAGGGAGTTGGCGATCTTGACAAAAACAGTTCAGTGGAAAGGAGGGGTTAGATTCCTGACTGGAGTTGATTGAAGACAGATTGGCAGCTACGGAGTATTTGTGAGTTTTTTAGATTATAGGCTAGAAAGATATCAATCATGACAAGTTAGGAAGACTCGTTCTTTGTGGAGGGAAGATTTGAAATTCAAACATTTAAGAAGTTTTTAAAATAAATTTATTTTTGGCTGCATTGGGTCTTCATTACTGCGTGTGAGCTTTCTCTAGTTGTGGTGAGTGGGGCCTGCTCTTCCCTTGCAGTCTGCGGGCTTCTCATGGCAGTGGCTTCTTTTGTTGCAGAGCATGGGCTTTAGGTGTGTGGGCTTCCATAGTTGTGGCACACGGGCTCAGTAGTTGTGGCTCACGGGCTCTAGAGCGCAGGCTCAGTAGTTGTGGTGCACAGGCTTAACTGCTCTGCGGCATGTGGGACCTTCCCAGACCAAGGCTTGAACCCGTGTCCCCTGCGTTGGCAGGCAGATTCTTAACCACTGTGCCACCAGGGAAGTCCCTAAAAGGTCTTTTTAAAATAAGCAAAATGATCTTCCATTCTATTTACATGAATTCTAGCATCTTGCCAAACTCTTATTTTTACACATCAAATTAAATATTTGGTAGCAAATTTAGAACCCCCATCGACACTTTTATCTTTTTATGTTGCTCTGGTAAGTTTTGATGTTTTCTCTTGGTAGCTTAATTTTTTTTAATCCTACTTTGGACTATTCGAGCTTCTGGGACGTACTTTGGATCGTTGGAATTACAGACTTCATTCTGAAATTCCTCTTCATGGGCTTAAAATGCCTTATTTTATTGGTGCCTTCTTTCATCATGCCTTTTAAATGCAAGGTAAGAAAGTAATATGTTTTATTGGAAAGATGTTAGCAGACCATATTAATGCTATTTAGTCTTTGCTTAAATGATTCCTTATATAATTTTTCAGTTTGCTCAATAACCTAATTTTAATTATCTATATTATCTCAGACTGGCAGCTATTTGGTCAAAGACTTGAACCTAAATATTAATCTATTCCAATAAAATCAATTATATTTGCTTTGGAATAATCTAAGAATGAGTCCCCACATCATATATGGGAAAATATATATTTATACTTCTGTTTTCCTCCAGGGCATTGTTAATTGATAACTGACTTAGGCAGTTATTCAGTGTTTTTTCATATTTAATGAAAACTTTAAATTTTTATAATCAGCAAAATGTTTTATTATACATAAAACATTCAGTCACTCTTTAGAAATTCTTTGAAAACAGACCACTCAGTGACTGTAATATCTAAAGAACCAAGTTGAGGTTGTCAGTCATAACCATTATCATTATGAAGATTAATTTTATAGTTGTGTTATTGTGCCATATACCCATGATGTTCTCAGCCCAATATGAAGTATTTGCATTGTGCATGTAAGTACCTTGGGTGGCTCTATTTGTTTTCTTTTTTCTTCCTTTTTAGGGTTATTGGTATATGGTTTTAGAAGAATTATGTCAGTATTACCGAACTTTTGTCCCCATACCAGTTTGGTTTCGTTACCTTATAAGCTATGGGGAGTTTGGTAATGTAACTGGATGGAGTCTTGGGATATTGCTGGCTTTACTCTACCTCATACTAAAAGTAGGTAACATAATAAATCTTATCATTTATAATGATTCATATAATACTGTTTACATATTTTACATATGACTGCTTTTCTCTTTATATATTTTATAGTTTATCTTCATATCACTAGTTTGAAGTAATGGCAGATTCTATATCTACTTAGAAATGGAGAAATGAAAATAGGTATCTTAATCCAGTGGTTCTCAGATTTTATTGGGGGAGTGGACCTTTAAGCATGGATTATCTAAGGTGGAGGGGAACAAGAAGAATAGAACATACCCATCCCCTACAGTAGCATCTCTCATACACATAATTCTCAAACTAGTGGAGTATCTTGTCCTGTTCCCTCTATGCCTGTTCCCCTCAGCTTAATCACTTTATGAAACGTTAAATAGGTTAAGGACATGTGAACCAGATAAAATTGCCTTGCCTTTGATTTAGTTGTTTATATTTATCTTGACCAAATTGTAACTCTGGGCATTCAGATGTACTTCATTTTGGTTAACAGTTGGCTGAAACTGATAAATAGAGTAAAATATTCCATAATTGGACTTTAAATATATTTAGAATGAAATGATTAGTTGTGATATGCAATGAGCATAAAATTAATATCAGTATTTGATATTAGCTTTGATCTCTGAGTTTAGCAGGTAAGGCTCTTTGAACAAATGAATTATTTTCTCTTTCAGCTTCTGGACTTTTTTGGACATCTGAGAACTTTCAGACGGGTTTTAAGAATATTTTTTACACGGCCAGTAAGTATTTTTTAATCAGAAAAAACACTTTTTATCTTTCTTTCTACATTATAAAAATGTTTTAGTTCAGCAGTTTTACAAATGAAGATTTCATAATTACGTGAAATTATGTAAGTTTTCATAAGTACTTCTTGTACTTTGGCATTTGGGGCTGTGATGATATAGAGGTTTTGTTTCTGTGATAAGTTTAACTTGCACATTGACAACCACCTGATAGTTGATGAAGTACTTATATATTTGAGTTTGCCTCTTGCCCTTTCAAATCACTTGACATTCTTAAGGGTTTATAAACATTCCCTTAAAAATCTTATGAACTTTTGTTTCTCTTCCTTTATTTAAGCCACAAATAGTAGCTTTGTGTATTTTCATTAACTCCTATTCAACTTCTGTGAAAGTGCTTATACTATAATTTATTGTGTATATGAAGAAAGCTCATTACCAAAAATCATGTCCCTTGAAATTTTCTTACTGGAAAAATTTCCCCAATACGCAGTTCTGTATGCACAAATAAGTTCATGACAATAACAGTAAATTTAACAATAACAAAACAATTTTAACAATAAATTGAGACTCCAATGTCAACTGTAACTTTATTATGTTATTCTACTGATGTAACAAACTGCAGAAAAAGGGTATCATAGCCCAAATGATAAATAGCTCATTTGCTATTTAGTAGCCTCAGAAGTTCTCAGTATATAAGAGTGATCACCAGGTTTCAGAGTTTGATTCTCAGTTTTGCAGTCCATTAGGTACTTAACAATTATGTGGTCAGGACTCAGGGGAATCTGATGTACAAGAATGCCAGTCTAATAATATATGTTTAAAAAAAAACAGGATTATACCAACAAAGTGGAGTAAACTAACTGGCCAGGGCACCCTTTCCTAAAGACAGTAATGTATTAAGTTTTTTTTTTTGCGGTACGTGGGCCTCTCACTGCTGTGGCCTCTCCCGTTGCGGAGCACAGGCTCTGGACGCAGTGCAGGCTCAGCGGCCATGGCTCACGGGCCCAGCGGCTCCGCGGCATGTGGGATCTTCCCAGACCAGGGCACAAACCCACGTCCTCTGCATCGGCAGGCGGACTCTCAACCACTGCGCCACCAGGGAAGCCCTGTATTAAGTTTTGCTGCATCCTATTCAGACTTCTTTCTTTAGATAAGATACAATAAAATTGAGACTTCAGCTTTTGAGTTTATTCAGTTGATTATGTATCGGCCACTTTGCTGTAGCAATTAATCTAGTAAGGCTTCAGCTGAAATACTTTTGATATTCTTTCTCTGTGAAGCATAAAGAGACTATCACAGATCACTGTTTTATTCCTGGGATTCTCATGTTCCTTAATGTTGCCCTGAAAATGGCAATCATCATCAGGGTGTCTTCACCTGAAGGGAGTCTGCAAAGTGCCAGACAAGAGTGCTATTTTAAAAGCTTGTCAGCATACATATCTGCAGTGTACTCTGCTAAATGACATTTATTGAAGGGAAACTGGCACCAAGATCATCCGTCAGTATCTCAGTTTGTTTCTGGAATCTTTAACATGACCAATCTCAAAAAAATCTTCATTTTCAATGTTTTCATCCGTTGAGTCTTAGTTTGATTTTGTTAACCCTCGATAACAAGAAGTTTAGGTCACAGCTTCAGGTTGCTGAGTCAAGTCATGCTTTTGCTCTCATTACCATGACTGAAACTTGGGTGTTCTTTCTTTTCCTCAGCCACCTTTTCCACATCATTTCTACAGAAAGCCGATCTCATTTGTAACATTTTGTCACATCTAGTTAATGACTAAATTCTACTGAATTTGGTAAGGAAGTTATTAAGATCTTAAAGAGATCAGAAACTTTTTTTTAGGACTTAAGAAGAAAAGGAAATTCAAAGATTTGTGTTATTATTCAGTTTGACAGTATAAGTCTACCCAAGTGACATTTTGCAATTACAGTTCTTCTGTAAAATTTTACCATTCTTTCGTAGTACTAAATGCTCCAACTTTTGTGATAAGTAAGGATGATAATTAAAATTATTTTTAGATTTAGTGGCAGGATACTGTTCAGTGGTCCCCAAACCTCCTTCACATTGAACTCATGTGGAGAGCTTTCAGGAATTAGATTCCTGGGTTACATCCTGGTATGTCTGGACCTACTGAATCAATCACCAGTGTGGAGCACAGAAACCTATTTTTAAAGTAGTCTCTACATGAGTTACATTCAGCCAGCCAAGCTCTGGACTGACTTTTTTGAAAAGTGTCATAGGTAATAAGTGGGCTCAATTTGGCAGTACTGGGTCACATAGTACATGAATATAGATTGCATAATGCTGTATTATATTTCAGATCGCTTAGTCTCTTGAGCCATTTGAATTTGAAGCACTGTCATTATTTGGGAATCCAATGAATCTAACAATCTTCCAGTATCCTATTATGTATTACATAGCGAGTTAACCTTGATGCAATCCATCCAGGCATCATTCTGCATACATAGTTCAGCTCTGAAATGTTTATATCCTTTGGGAGAGTTTTCAAATGCCTAGTTCCTTGGAGATTTGAGAAATACAGTACCATCTATGTATTTAAGGAACAGAAAAGAAAGAAATTTGTAGGAACATAACTTCTTATCTTTATAGAGTCACGGAGTGGCTGCCAGCAAGAGACAGTGTTCAGATGTGGATGATATTTGTTCAATATGTCAAGCTGAATTTCAAAAGCCAATTCTTCTCACCTGTCAGGTAACTGTATTTTTAAGCAACCTCAATACAGCACTTCTCTGTGATCTGCAAACATCACATTTATGTTACTTATAGGGAAATATACACTATTCAGCAGAAAGTAGCATTCAGGGCACATACTACTAATTTCTTATTTGTGATTAGGGGTTTGGTAGGTTAGTTAAATCTTGCCCCTTAGTTCTAATGATTTTTTTTTTTTCTTTTTGCGGTACGCGGGCCTCTCACTGTTGTGGCCTCTCCCGTTGCGGAGCACAGGCTCCAGACGCGCAGGCTCAGCGGCCATGGCTCACGGGCCTAGCCGCTCCGCGGCATGTGGGATCTTCCCACACTGGGGCACGAACCCGTGTCCCCTGCATCAGCAGGCGGACTCTCAACCACTGCGCCACCAGGGACGCCCAGTTCTAATGATTTTTATGTAGAGGAGTGTATAAAGGGGGAAAAAAAAATTCAAATGGCATACTGGATACCAAAGTGACTGGGAAACAGACTATTTTTAATAATTGAATACTAGTCTTTTAGAATAATACCAGCATTTGTTACTGGACTGTATAAGGCCCTTTCCTATACTTTATTTCAGTAACCCTCAAAGACTTTATTAAGCTGTTAGTCATTATACTTGATCTTAAAGTTATCACCTGAGGATAGCTTGTATTTTATTAAAAGTGGTTAAACGGATAGTACAAGTCAGAATAATACTTGTGCCTCACCACGAACACCGCTGTGTTCTTGAATGTTATACTTTGTTTTCTCACTTGTAAAATAAAGGGATTAGTGTCCTCCAAATTCCCTTTCAGCTCTAGAGTATGATTCTCTGCAATGTGATGAATTTAAAATTGAAATGTTATCAACTATAAAATCTAGTTCTTAATTTCCTTACAGCATATATTTTGTGAAGAGTGCATTACCTTATGGTTTAACAGAGAGAAAACATGTCCGCTGTGCAGAACTGTGATTTCAGACCATATAAACAAATGGCAAGACGGAGCCACTTCATCACACCTTCAAATATATTAAGTTCTAAACGTAATATTAAGGCCACAAAACACTAATTTTATTTGGTTACAGTGACTATTGGTAAAGACATTAGAATGGATTTTCAGGGCTGGAAGTTAAGGAAAATGTTTCCAAATGGTTTTAGAATATTATAATAAGGCAAGTGTGTAGTCCAGCTTCTCAAAAGATTAAATGAAAGAACCCTATATTTAAAAATATATATAAGTAATGTTCAACATAATGCATATGCAACATTTATTCTATCCTAATTATCTGACAGATAATTGCAGTGTTAAATTGTAAATGTGTTTTCTTGTTAATGTTACCAAAATGACAACTGGATAACTAGAACTAGTGGTTTTAGAGGAATTCAGGTATTCTTTCCTGACACTGTTTTCGGAATAAAGAATATTTTTCATAATATTTTTAAGATACGCATTACCTGAAAGTAGAATTTTCTTTAATATTGACTTTTATAATTCCCATTCTAAAATTTCTCATAAAATTTGTATTTTTAAATGAATGCTCTAAATGCTATATTTTACCTGTACAATCAGATTTTTCTAAGGAAGATTAATTTACTGAGGATGAAATATTTTAATATTGTATTATTCTCTGTAGTGTGATTAGCAGTCATTGAGAACAGATGGTTTAAATTCCTTTTCTTTGTGGACTTCATACATACAATCCTGCCATCAGCTTTAATGTTCATGGTCTTGCTTTTTGGAAAGTGCCACGGACTTTCTTGGATTATTAAAATAATTCACATGGATTACAAACAGCTGGCTTCACTGATGATTTGAATTGAGTGACAAACAAGAGCAACTCAAACACTTAGAAAAGAATTCCTCGGGACTTCCCTGGCGGTCCAGTGGTTAAGACTCCGCACTTCCAATGCAGGGGACGTGGGTTTGAGCTCTGGTCGGGGAACTAGGCTCCCACATGGTGCGTGGCCAAAAAAAAAGAAAAAAGAAAAAAAAAGGATTTCCCCGTATAACTAGTCTTCTCCAGAAGAGTTTTGGAGTCTCATGCTTGAATCACCATTACTTGGGAGGTTAAAGCTTGCACTCAGGCCAACACAAGCTTTGGAGAGTGTGGTTTGTTTGTCTACAGGTATTTGTGCAGGGTGGTGGAAAGAGAATGAGGCACTTTCTCTCTCACTATGAAACCTCTAAGGGAGGATGGATCTATACCAGAAATCCAAAGAACTGGTTATTATATATATTTAGATGCAAGGCCTCTGCCCATTTTCTTTTTTACCATCTATCAGTTTGCACACAAGAAAAAGATAGTGGTGGGAAGTAGAAGCTACGAGGCAGAGGTAGAAAACAAATTTGCAGTGCTGATAAGACAAAGATTAAACCAACCTGGATTAATAAGGATAGTGACCAACCAGATACAGGTTAAACCACTTTTCATGCCTTATGGCCACCCAAATTGACAAAAGAACATTAGCCTGTAACTTTTCTCCCCAGGTGAATATTGCTAGATTATAAGTGCAACTGTTCCTGTTTATTCAGGATGAAATACTTAACTATGTTACATACTTTGAGAACCACTGCAAATACTAAAAAACAAGCTTACTTGGCCTTAAATCACCTTCCTAACTTGGTGGTGAAGCTAATAGTTGTTATTTAGGTATGCAGCAGGGGATAAGTGAGAAAGACAATTTGAGATTAGAATTTGGGTGTGAAGGATATGCTGACTTCTTGATAAAAACATAAGAATAACACCTTAAACACATAGGTTACTTCAGCCCTAATACCTACTTACCACACTTACTTACCCTATGGCCATATGGATAGCTTTGTTTCTTAATATGACTGAATAACAAAAGAAGTCCCTGGTGGACAGTGGGGTTTTTTGTTTTTGTTTTCTTAACAAACAAGAAAGCAGTTCACATATGAGTTTAAAAGGAGGAAAATGTAACAGGAGAGCTTTGCCATTCACTAGTAACATTGATGAACTAGAAGCATTTCTCTTATTTTTATTCCTTCACCTCAAAAACAGGAATAGGGATTCAAACCCCATTTATTCTGTGAATTCAGATCACATCCTCTAAAAGACTGTTTTATCAACATCAAGAGTCACTACTATGTTTTATAAAAAAGTACGTTTGAGAACTTCTGTAGAGAAACCATCTTGGCAAGTGTGATAGAATTACCTCATAAATAAGAGGTGGTTTACACAAAACACCCATCTTACAGTAGATATATCGAGACATTAGTTAAAAACAGATTTGTCCACTATGTTATTTTGTTCATACACATCAGGTAATGTAGTTGACAAATGTGGCTGGAAAAACTGTTGTATGTTAGCACAAGAAAGTCTTCCATTGTTTTTATGTGAAGCTGGCTTTCACATAACTTTTCACATGAACTTTTTTTTTTAAGCAACCAATTCAATTCTACTATTTGACAGAACTTGGAAATCACAGATGTTTAACACCTAATATAAAATCAGTACTAAAACTTGTTATAAATTTAAATTGCTTCAATTTCGCCACAAAAACAGTTTTATGACTGTCATTCTTCACATAAATAGTTTATTAAATATGAGAATCTGAACACATCTGGCATGTTAATGGGAAAAATTATTGAAACCACATGTGTACCTGATAGTTATTTCTTCCTATCTTAGGATAATAATAATTTAAAAAAATCACTTCTATTTTATGTTCATTCAAATTTGCATTTAATTTCTATTTACATTCAATCAATCTGAAATCAAATACTTAATACAGTAAACTAAACAAGATGAAAAGCAGAAAAGGTGTTACCCTCAAAGCACTCCTAATAAGGCAGCTGAAGAATTTACTCTGGTAGATGCAAAGCCAACTTGGGGTAGGAAAAAAAATAATAGTTTAAAGAGCAAACACAGATGAACCCATCTTTCAAATGTTACTTTAGATAATCCACTGATATAATACTTGTGCTACAGTGGTAAATTAAGAATCACACATGAAGAATTCTGTATCAATCAGCAACAGACCACAGGTCATGGTGGAACAAATACTTTATGATTATTTTGTCCAGCTTGCTAGTGTCTACTCCTATGAAAAAAGGTAGATGTTTGGACATTGATGTTTTTATTTGAGGAATTAACCATTTCCACAGCCTCAAAATCCATTCTGCATAAATCGAACATTTCTCATGAGAATAATCTTAGATCTAGCCCTTATAAGCTAGGAACCATATGACTAAGTAACCAAAATAGTTAGGTGCTATATTAAATATAAAATCCAAGGCTTGGGATATTAATACTATTGAAGATGCAGCTTATTTATAATCATTTATTTCTTAAAGAATGTTGAATTTATGGAGTATCATACATGCATTCTTCCCCCCCCAATTACCTTCTATCTCAAAAAATAGTACGGAAGAATCCTTCTTGAAGGATTCAAATTAGTTAAGACCATAAAGGGGAAAAAGAAATAACAGTTTTCCTAAAAATCTGGTTCAAGTTCAATAATTAATACTTTACATTGTTAATCACAGCTGGTTTATAAATCTCAGTTTATTCTGTAATGCTACAAACCTTATAAAATCAAAATTAGTAAACTTCAGTTCTCAATGATTATATTTTAATTAAAAAACAGCATGTATAAAATAAAAAAATATCCTGTAATAGCTGATTTTAAAGAAAATAATCAAGTGATGAAAGAAAAACACTTAATCTCTTTATACACTTACCTGGAATAATCATAAAGAACTTTCTTAGAAACTCAAGACTAGTATTATTGACATATATTTTTAAACTATGCTTGGGTTTTTACAAATAAATATAGGGTAAGCCATATTGCATAGGTGTGTGCTTTCTGTCTGTGACACTAAAGTGGCACTTGACATGTTTTCACAGTCATAGTAGGAATATCCATTTATGAAACAATTTCTCAATAAACTTGCCACAGTATAGAAAATTAACTTCACTGAATGTTAAGTTTGAAAAACTTATTTGTGTGGATGGTAGGTGTGCAATTAATACTTTTTATGCAGAAAGTTACAGTGTTTGCCACTATTGCTGGCAGTACTAATTATGAAACTGGTTTAACTATGGGGTGGTTATAGCCAGCCAATCACAGTGCAAATGTTACTAGCAAATAGGACTGAGGAGGAATATTTTGGTGTAAAACTTTCACTGGAATTTGGTCAGGCAGTCAACACTATAGTTAGTAAACTCATTTGAAAACAAGTATCAGAGTAGTACAAGCCATTTACAGTCTGAAATGAAGCCTGTACATATCACCATAGCTTTTTGGGTTCTGTTTTTCAGACATCATAAACTGTCAGAGAACAAAGACCTGCACTTTAAGTACAATTTCTGCCCTTACCATTATTTAGTTTCTAATTTATTAGCTACAGTTATAAAGTTCTCAGTAGACTGCTGCAATAAGGGAAGAGGAGGTCTAGAGGGAGTGATTTAAAAAAAAAAAAAGGCTTTCTGTCCGAAGATGAGCTGTTATCAATTGTTTCATTTATTGCCACAATTGAAAAGGTATATTTCCAATCATTTTTCATGGTTCTATTTTTGCTTAATGTCATAGGATTTCATCTTATCTCACTCGAACCGCCATTTAAATAAGCAAAGCTTTTTCTGGCTGAATTCAACATGCATAAATAATTTTATGGCTTGGATCCTATGGCTCAAAAAGGTTTGGAGAACATAGCAAGCAGCATCTATTTAAAAAAAATCATAGGGTTGCAAAATATTACAAATTGACTTTGCACACTCAGACTGAAGACATTATAAAAGACAAACAAAAAGGTGGTAAGACTCAACTGCAACTGCATGATCATCTATTATACCAGTATGCACTGAAATAATATTTTTATAAAGCTCTGCAGATATTAAACCCTTTCACCAGCTAAAAGTCAGGGAAACGCTCTCTTTAAGGCAGAAGTATTTAAGAAAGGTAAAGTTACTTTTATTTTTATTCTTTGTACCTGTAAATCACTTATGTAGACTTCATTACAATTTTCAAAAACATAGTGTCTTGTTAACATGTTTCCTAAATTAAGCCACTGAGTTTTCTTATTCACTGTGGAAGACATTCATCAAAAGGCCATCAAATACTTTTACAATCAAAAAATGTAGCCCCAATATAGGAAAAAAAAATACCTTTTTTCCTTTTAAAACCGTTGAGGAAAAAATGTAAGGAAGGCAGACACCAAAAACAGTAAAAAAGAAGTAAAACTTAAAACCTTACCAATTTGCTGTAAAGAGATTATACATAGAGGGTAGACCGTGGCAACACCCCCTTCCCCTGGATCTCCCTCCTCTCTCTCTCACTTTGCCGCCCTCGATATGCATTTTATCCTCTCTTCTGTCCTTCTTCAGCCATAGGCTGAACACATTTCACGTCTTGAACCAAATACTGGTATAAGGTGGCGATATTTTTCCAGTGCAATGCAGGCCCAGGATAAGGATGAAATGTAGGACATACAACTTATGCCCATTCCAAGGCTTCCAGTTAAGCTTAGCACATAATAGTACTGCAAGTAGAAATGATTAAATAGATTTTTTTTCCCTAGTATTACAGACAGGTATTGCAGCTGGGTTACTGAAAATAAACCCCAAGTCCACCCCAATCCCTCAAACGAGCCACAGCTGTGGTTAACAATGATTCATTTGCATTTTTATTATTTCACCAAGAGAAGAAACAGAAGTTGTCTGGCTTTCTTCACACCAATAATTTCGCATTTTAAAGTTTGGGATGTTTTCCATAATGAGCTGAATCAAAAATCTATTTGAAAAATATATATTTATATAAAAAAAGATTCA